CTCTGTCACTGAGGAGCTCCCGTGGTGCACCATGACGAAGAACGAACCGATGAAAGATGAAGGTGGCAACGTCTCGAGCACCAGCCGAAAGTAGCGCTGCCGATTCAGCGTACCTTGTCAGATTGTCGGCACCCACAATCACCCATCGATTACCACCAACAGAGCACGGTAGCAGGCCGTATAGGTCCACCCCAACACGGTCAAATGGGCGTGCAGGACAGTAAAGGCTGCAGTTGACCGGGTGAATGAGGAAATGTCTTGCGCTGCTGACACAAGGAACATGAGCGAATGTGTTTGCGTACAAACGTGTGCATACCCCGCCAGTAATAACGTTGGCGGATTCGCGCATACGTCTTTAGCGCACTGGCGTGTGCGTGTTGCGGTTCAACATGAAAATATTCGCAGATATCAGATGGCATATGGCTGGGTATGACTGGCAGCCATTTACAACCCGCCTCTTGATAGTTGCGACGGTATAGCAGGCCATCCCGTATGGCGAAATGCGTTGCTTGGCGGCGAAGAGCACGCGGGTAACCGGAAGATCATGCGTCAGAAAGCATATTCAAGAATGAGACAATCCAGGGGTCCTTCCGCTGTTCGGATGGCATGTCTGTGACGCTAACAGCAGAGAGGGGAAGGTCACGGGCCGATATTTCCGTATCATCAGATTTCACGGTGATCGTGAAAGCGCATCTGCGTCGGAGTGCTTTCGCCCCGATCGATAGACAACGCATATGTCGAATACCTGGAGGCGTAGTGCCCAACGTCCAAGGCGACCAAAAGGATCTTTCAGTGAAGCCAACCAACAAAGCGCATGATGGTCAATTACCACATCAAAAGTTGAGCCGTACAAATAGGGACGAAACTTGTTTATCGCCCACACAATCGCGAGGCACTCTTTTTCCGTAACAGAATAGTTGGCTTCTGCCTCGGTGAGGGCGGGGCTGGCATAGGCGACCACATACATACTCCGTAAAACCTGGTTTGCGTTGCGCAAGTACTGCACCAAGGCCGACGCCACTTGCATCCGTGTCTACTTCGGTCGGCGCAGTAGGGTCGTATTGGTGCAGTACTGGTGGTGAGGTAAGGAGTTGGCACAGTGTTGCGAAGGATTCGCCACAGCCTGCTGTTCAATTCGAAAGATCTGCAGGGCCAGCAAGGAGTTTGGTGAGCGGAGTGATGATGGAAGCAAAGTTCCGGACAAACCGACGAAAATAGGAGCACAGGCCCACAAAGCTCCGTAGTTCCTTAACTGTAGTCGGCTTAGGAAATCCAGCAACAGCACGAAGCTCGTCAGGGTCGGGAAGGATGCCGGCTTTCGAGACGACATGACCAAGTATGGTTTAGCCCCGAAGTGACATTTCTTCAGGTTAAGCTGAAGCCTGGCGTTTGTAAGGCGCTGTAGAATCTTACGCAAACGAGTGAGATGCGAAGTGAAATCGGGGGGGGGGGGGGGGGAAAGACCACAACGTCGTCAAGATAGCACAAGCATATGTTCCATTTGAGACCGCGTAAAATGCTGTTCATCATTCATTCGAATGTGGCGGGCGCATTGCAGAGTCCGAACGGCATTACGGTAAATTCATAGAGGCCATCCAGTGCAACGAAGGCCGTTTTCGGACGATCAGACTCGGCCATCGGGACCTGCCAATAACCTGAGCGAAGGAGAAGAATTCAAGCGAATGTCAAGCGAGGAGAAGAATTCTGCACCTTGAAGACAATCGAGAGCGTCGTCTATGCGGGGAAGAGGGTAAACATCTTTCCTCGTAATGTTGTTTAGGTGCCTGCAGTCTATGCAGAACCGGATCGAACCATCTTTTTTTTTTGACGAGTACAACTAGTGAAGACCAAGGACTACAAGAAGGCCTGATGACTCCACGCTGTAGCATGTCGTCTACTTGTTCTGCAATTACGCAACGCTCCACTGGCGACACACGATAGGGGCGCTGGCGCAAAGGAGTACTCTTCCCTGTGTCAATTGTGTGCACATTGGTGTTCGCTCTTCCTAGCACCGCTTGGGGAAAGTGAAACGAACGCCTGAATTCGTGCAACAGGGTAACAAGCTGCTCATGTTGAGCCGGGGCGAGGTGGCTGTCAATGGAACAATGAAATGCATCGGAAAATATGCTGTCCGAGGCAAGGTGAGGAACTAACGCGTTCAGCTCCTTATTCGGCTTGGTGTCTAAGAAATCGGCAGGCACGGTAGTACCTTCATTAATAGGCTGATTGTGGCTGAGCATCTCGTTGTGGCGCAAACTGAGGGGGCACGAGTTGGAATTGGAAATAAATATTCCGGTAGTGTCTTGACAAAGCGCAAGAACGGCGAATGGCAGCGATGTGTGGTGGCGGCTACCGAAGATGTCAGATGGCGTGAATAGGACGGTAGCGTCAGAAAGTGAAGCACAGTAGGCAGGGACTAACTGGGTGCTGAAAGAAGAAAGGTCAATTCCGTCGCGACGACAAGGTTAGCCACACTAGATACGGGCGTATCAACAGAAGGTGCATCACGAAGCGGTAACAGCTCCACTTCGGCCCGAGCGCAGTCCACGACGGCGTGATGATGTGATAAAAAATCCCATCCTAGGATGACATCGTGGGAACATGAAGCCAACACGTGAGATCCAATGTTGTACAACACGTCTCGAATTATCACTTTTGCTGTACATGCCGCGACGGGCTCAATTTGTTGGGCGCTTGCAGTGCTATGAGAAACCACGGGAGAAAGCGTCATTTTACGAAGAGAGCGGCAGAGTCTTTGACTTATCACAAATATTGTGGCACCGGTATCGATGAGTGCAAGTGTTCGTACACCTTCGACGATTACATTGATAAGATTGGTGGGAGACAGGTGAGGACTTAAGCGATTAGACGATGACGCAGCTTGTGCCTCCAAAGCTGCGGCAGTTAGTTTTCCGTCTCAATGGAGGTGGGTCGTCGACGCATAGGCGATACAGAATGACAACTTGTTGAAGGGGAAGGCGAGCGGGAAGTAGAACGTCGAGAAGTGGAGGTTCGGGTGCCGGAAGCAGCTTTGCGTGTCACGTTTGTGAACTTCACATGGCGCGTGCGGTGTGTGGTATGGAGGCCAAAACGAGTAGTCAGGGTATATTGGTGCGTTAACTGCGAAGCGCCAGCGACATAGACGTGCAACGTGGCCTGGAATTCCTCAAAAGTAACATATGGGCCGATTGTCAGCAGTGCGCCAAGGATTTCCGGCGTGATGCTGTGTAGCTGGAAACGGCGCGGTGGACGGTCGCACAGGTTGTGGCGTATACAATGGCAGACGAGGCGGACGCATTGCTGCGACGGCCGCATAAGTGTTGGTAGAGAGGCAGGCGCAGCAACAGGTGTTGGTAGAGAGGCAGGCGTAGGTAATGGCAACGCCTCGGAGACCTGCGCCTGAATAGCCTGTCTGGTGGCCGGTGTTAGGCGGTTTGTCGGTGCTTCGTTGGTCGGCAGATACGAGAGACACGAAAGCTGTCGTGCGACCTCTTCGCGTACATATTCTTTTATCTGCTCCAGCAGGGTGTTGTCACCACCAACGGCCAGGGACCAACGGCCAGGGCAGCGAGAGAGTCGTCTGCTGTCGTCGACCTCCGAACTGATGCAACTTGTTTGGGAATCTCTTCCAAGCTCTGGCACAAGGTGACAAGTTTGGATGCGGTACTTGGGCCCTTCGCCAGCAACATTTAAAAGGCATCATCATCTATGCCTTTCAAGATATGCCTGATCTTGTCTTGTTCTGTCATGTCAGGGTTAAAGCGCCGGCATAAATCGATAATGACTTCAATGTAGCTTGTGAAGCTTTCGCCCTGCCTTTTTGCACGTTCATGTAGGCACTGTTCAGCACGCAGCTTGCGCACTGCAGGGCGATCAAATACTGCTGCCAGGGTGGTCTTGAAAGCGGCCCAAGTGGTAAACTCAGCACGGTGGTTTGTGAACCACAGGCTGGCAACGTCTTTGAGATAAAATGGGGCATACTCCGTTTTCGAGGGCTCGTCCCACTTGTTGGCAGCGCTCACCTTTTCAAACAGATGCAACCAGTCTTCCACCGCTGAAGAAAGGGGGATCCCGTTGGCGCAGGGTGGTAGGCACGATGAGCAGTTGAGATTGGGCCGTGCTTTGCTGGGTGGCGCCTTGCTTGGTTGTCTGATCAGGCATTGCTGATGCAGTGGGCAGCTTTCGGCTTCGAAGTTCCAGATTTGCGTACCCAGCACACTTCCATCACTTTGCAAGGGAGTATAATAGCGACACCAGGTAGTAGGCAGACAGCCGGTACGGACACAGATGCTGGAGCAGTCCAGCGTCTACAGCTCGTGCACACGCTCGCGCTTCGCACTCAGAGATGGTCCCACTGGTCATTCCCTTGCGAATTCCCCATTTCAATACTAATTGATATTACATACATTATTTCGTCTCTCTGTTGTGTTACTAGTATCGCATCGTTACAAGGGGAACGATAAGTACACGTTGAAAAAATGCGAGATGCCTCAAATCGATGTCACTGCTCCTTTAAAAATTCATTGCTTTCACTAGCGAAAATGTCTCGATTTTTGTTTGCAAGCATGTTTTTTTGCTGGTTACTGCCTAAAGCAACTGATTTATGTGTGTGATACAAGTGAACCTGCTTGTAGAATTACTATGTGATCAACAACTTGCAGAAATGCTAGTGCATCTACTTCATCGCTCTGTGCAGATATACCAGTAACAAAGACTGAAATGCTGGATGAATTATTAGGCATGTTGAGCATGTATACATTTTTACATTGTGATAAATCATTGGTTCATCTCATGCAGCGGTGTTTTAGAATTCTAGTGGCACATTGAAGTTGGTGGCTTGCTTTATGCATCACTGTCATGATTACGAGTGCCTGTCTGAACTCCTGCGGACTATGGTAGGTGTGAAACTTCAGTAGGTAACTATATGTAAGGCTACCTGTGTAACAGTGTTATTCGAGTAGGGTTAAAATTTTTTATTGTGAATTTCTTTTTTCTTTCAGGTTGTGACTTCAGATGATGGTGTCTTCACAGTTACAATTGGTGCCTCAAAGCACAAAGCACCAGTTGAGCCTATGCACCATGAGCCAACCACTTCAAAGGAACGCAAGGATACCTTTGCACCAGTCTCTCGTATGGGAAGTTGCATGGCCATCAAGCACGGGGTCCTCTATTTGTATGGAGGAGTGTTTGAAGATGAGGACCGGCAGTTTACACTTTCCGACATGTATGCGCTTGACCTGCGCAAGTTAGATGAGTGGAAAGTGCTTGTACCACTGGCTCCAGAAGCTCATGAATGGCTTGGGTCTGATGACTCAGATTTGGAATCTGAAGAGAGCGATGTAGAAGATGAGGATGATGAAGACAGCGAGAAAGGTGCTTGTGCTTCACGTAACTCAAAAAAATAAAATTTTTTGTATTTTATGTCAGCTGCACATAAATGGGTTGCTTCAGTGTGACAGGTGTTTCTTCTTCAAAGAAAGTTGTGAAGTAGTGGTTGAGTGCTTAAGTTAAATTATTAAACTTATTATTGGGAGTCTGCGAGACCTGATTTTAGTTGCACTCGTGCAGTTGAGGTAGTAGTGCACCAGATCGGATTTTTCGGTGCAGTGCTATGGGAAGAATAACAGCCGTTTAATTTCATAACCAAACTTATGACCTTCTAGCGTAAACAAAATGTATGCATTTATATGAAGAAGTCATGCAAGTTTATAATAATCACTTTAAGAGGTTATAAACTTGAGTTTGTTGGCTGGGGTTCACAGCAGGGAACAGCACAAATACACAGGGCAAGAAGGACTGACAGCGCATGGCACTGCTAACAACATGAACGTTTGTTTCATAGGTGCACAAATATACCAGGACGTCTACCAACCTGGAAAAAGTAAGGGAATTTCTGAAAAACTTGGCCAGGTCATAGAAACTGATGGCAGTCTTTGTGTCCATCACAAAAATAAGCATTACCAAATTGATCAAAGCTTAAAAAGCCGCTCCTTCGGCTGACTGGTGAACAGCTAGAAGAAGTGGGGAAAAAAATCAGTGCATAACTGTCACTTCTTAGTGCAAATGCAAAAGGATACACTAACCAAAAGAACACAGTTTACTTACTGACTTTCTAGAAAGCTCATGCGAGTACCTTGTTCACAATAAAAGCCTTAAGAAAGGCACAGTGTACTTAAAGGGACATCAAAGAGCAGAACTATTTTTCACGTATTAGTGAAGTACAATTTTACAATCCCTGAAACACTATTCTTATTGCCACATGATGTTTGGTAAGCGAGAAAGCCCACAAAAAAAATGCAGGTGGACACGCCATCTTCAGATTTCCTTACCATACACCATGACCTCGTAAATTTTGAAGGCGGATACTGGGTCCTATATAACTTTTACTCGATAAAAAATGAAGTACATTGTCATCTGTAGAGGTCAGAGATCTAGCATACTAAGTTCCAGAAAATTTCCTCACGCCAGTGTCACGAAAATAAAAAAAAAAACGCATTTTGAAAAATCTTTTCACAGGCCAAGATTTTAGCGCAAAACTTAAAAATAAAACTTCAACCTTTATTTTCTCCTTATGATAGTGGAAAATAAGGCATTAGATTTCTCAGAGTGCAGTTTGTCAATCTAAACCAAGTCATTGTGTCTGTTTAGGGTCCCTTTTAAGTACGCCTAAGTAGGTGACATAAGCCCGGAATGTACATTGTCGGAAGCATCCCATCACTCGTGTTCATCATATGGGTAGTTGTCTGTAAGTGCAAGGATTCCAAGTGCAGGCATGACGCTAACTTCATTTTTTTTTAGCCAGAACATGTGCACGTGACTAGTCCATTTGATGGCTTGTAGATTTCACATGTTAAGCAAGGGTATTCGAGGCCACACGTCGTTTCGTGACATCATGTTTATGTTGTATAACTCTTCTTGAAATTGCCGGTTTCACCATTGTACTGGTTGTCACATTCGTGGGAGCCTACGGTATGAATAAGACCGGGGAAATTTCGCTCAGTAACTTGTCCTCCACGTTGACTATATCATTTCTTAGCTTCCATATTGGTACAAGAACTATTTAGATGTCTGTTGCATCACACAGGATATCTGACTTTTAAACCACAACATTACTCATGTAAGTAAATTTGTGCATGTTTGTTTTTGGCCACGATTTCGGCTTGGCTTGAAGACCTTCTGGTCAGGCTAGAACTGCCATCAGCAGAGGCCTGTCAGGGTATGTTGTGTCTTTTATTGTTATTATTATTACTATTTTTATCATTGGCGATGAAATGGCAAACGTACTGAGAGATAAGCACTTATTGCTGGTAGCTCGCACTTCAAGGGAAGCATTGGAAATTTTCAGCTAAATTTCTCATGTATCAGTTTTTCAAGATTGTATGCTTAAATCTGTGATTATTTTTTAGTGTCACGTCTATATGAGTATGTAAACAAAGGTTACACGCTGTCATTCGTGATTGATCTATGAAATCGAAGTAGCTGTTCGGACCTGACAGATTCCTTCTTGCGCCACTAAAATCTACCATCATCATCATCATCCTTCTTGCCATCATATTTTTCCAGTGTCAGCTCTTTAAACGCTACCCCCAGTTTTCATTGCACGCATCTGAGAACCTTTATCGTGCTCCAAGCGTCAAAGTCCAGAGAAATAAAACACTAACACAATTGATGATTAATATGTGAGGTTTAGTCCCAAAACAATCATTTGATTATGAGAGGCGCCTTAGTGGAGGCCTCCGGAAATTTCGACCACCTGGGGTTCTTTAACATGCACCCAAATCTGAGCACATAGGCCTACAGCATTTTCGCCTCCATCGGAAATGCAGCCGCCGCAGCTGGGATTGATCCTGCGACCTATGTGTCAGCAGCTGAGTACCTTAGCTACTAGGCCACCGCAGCACGGCAACACCAACACGCATGTGCTCGTTGAAAAAAGGGGGGGGGGGGGGGAGAAGACGGCAGTACGGCTTCGTTCTTGCGACATTGTCGTTAGTCGTCAAGGCAAGGGGCACAGAATACGTAAGAGTAGTTATTCTTCTCGGCTGAGAAGTATATTTTAGAGGTGTGCAAATTAGGCGGGGATGCAAATCAGTAGTTAATACAGCAATTCTTGTCAATCTAATCCAATTAACTGCAAATCTAATATTGTCACGTACTTGCTCAAGAAAGACGATGGCAGTTGTGCATGTGCCATGAAGGACTACGAAATGGACGAAAAAGAACTCGCGCGTTCTATTAAAAGACCGACCTGCTTCTGGTGTCTCAATCTCTGTGGCAAGGCCTCTCTTTTGACGTCGTGACACTAGTGGAGGTGCTGTGTACATACGGTTGCGCAGCAAGAAGCTGGCAGCCAGGTAGTACACCAGAGCCCTCTTTTCGGAGTGCTTCTTCATGGCCTCCACTACCTGCTTGTCGACCTCCTTCTGGACCTTCCGGTGCTCATCACTCACCGTTCGCTCCTGTGACTTGGTGTCAAAGATCTCACCCTCGTCCTTGCGGCTTCGCCTCTTGGCCGACATTGGTCGATTGAAGAAGCGGTCGTCGAGGTTTTCGGGCAGCTTGACTGACAAGATGTCAATCTTGGTGCTGGTAGCGATCATGTAGATCTGGTTGATGCGCCTCAGGGGGCAGCCGTTTATGCCGTAGGGGCTGGTCACCATGAGCAGGCCCGTTTTGAGCTGCTTCAGGAAAACTACCCTCTTGCCACGGTGGGGTCCAGCCAGAAAGATGAGGATGGTGCCAGGGGTGATCCTCTTGCGGAGCTTAGCGATTCTCAGCGAGGAAGGCTTCATGTGGGTTGCCCTCTTATGCTTGGGGCTGTCCTCCTTAGGGTAGAGTGTCGCTTTTTCTCGATGTGCACAATGCGCTCTCTGCTATTGTTATCGCCGTTGATCTTCTTGACGGGGACTGTCTGAAAAACTGCTAAGACGGTACTTTGGCCCATACAGCGTCACCCGACGCTTGAACAACGTGAACTACGAAGTTGTTCCCGACATTAATTGTAGTTGTAAGCGCCAAAAGTACTTACCCGAAGTCATGCACGTCGTGCGTATGAAACCGTATTTATCGAGTTAATTAGCTCCCGGTTACCGTTTTGTTGCTATCACTTCATACGCCTGGTAGAGCACTTAAGTTGCGCATCGGGACGATGCCTCTTTCGGAGGAAGGCAAATGTCACGTGCTTGCTCAAGAAAGACGATGGCAGTTGTGTATGTGCCATGAAGGACTATGAAATGAACGAAAAAGAAGAACTCGCTTGCGCGTCCTATTAAATGACTGACCTGCTTCTGGTGTCTCAATCTCTGCGGCAAGACCTCTGTTTTGAAGTCGTGACAATATTTTATAGGTGTTCTGGTCTGGGCTGTAGTCGTTATATTGAACTAGAATATAGTCCAGTGGCAGAACCGGCCCTGCTTCCACGGCCTCCTTTTACTCGTATGCCGCGAGAAGGCTACATTTCTACGTTTCGTAGCAGTTTTGGCTCTGTTGTCAAGCTATCGTAGGCTGCTTCAAACTTTCACAGCTACGGTTAATTATAATTCGCGAGTTTGCTTCCTGGTTCTTTCGAGCATAAAACAGCCAACTTGCTCACTGCCTGGTTCAGAAGCTTTATTTTGGCCAGATGTACTTTTTCATATTTACCGCACTCACTCAGAACATTCTGAGCGCTTGCGGTAAATATATTATTCTATATGAGTGCCTGACTCAAAAAAAAATTTTTTTTCACTCGAGAGTTTGCTTACTGTGCACAGAGTTTTAGCAGACGTGACGGTCATGGAATTTGCTTTTAATAATCTTGAAAAATCTGGAAAAGTCAGGGAATTTGAAAAAATCAAAATGGTAGACACCCTGTATACACTCAAACCTTATTATAGCAAAGTTGCATGTTACACAAAACTAAGTTTGTTATTTGAAGTGCTTGTCTCTGTCTATCCTTTCCGCATCTACGTAGTGCACTCTCATTTCGAACAATCGCGTTTCACCAACTCGCCCAATCAACTGTATTGATAAGTTTGTTACATCTCAAAATTCGTTATAAAGGTATATTTATAACACTGCATTGCAAGACTACTTTCATTTACTTCATTATAACTGATAATTCGTTATATCGAGGATTGAGTGGAAACAAAAAAATTCTCTGGAAACAAAAATAACAATGGGGGTAGGAGAGCACAACGCACTCGTCCCAGCAAGTCCATGACGATGCGATGATCACATGCAGAGATACTTAATTTCCTTGTCGGTTGGTACAATCGATGGTGCACTGGCACATGATGGCCCAATGGGATCAATTGCAAATGCTTCGTAGATTTCATGGGCGCGGCTATCACGATATCTGCACAAGATGCGCGTCTGATCAAAATTGGGACTGCAGCCACAAGCAGCACAACGAATAGTCAAATTACTTGCAGTACGGGCCTTGAGGTTGTTACTGTGCTTTTGCGGCCAGTCGTTGATGCAGTGACCCGTCTGCGCAAAGTAAAGCTGGACGTAGGTCGTATATTCGTAGCTGGACGTAGGTCGTATGTTCGGTTTAGCGAGGCACAAACTGTGTTGCATGATGCTTCTTGCAAGTGGGGGGACTAGAGCGAGGTTCGTTCACCTTCTTACACAATGAACCCTGATAAAACTGGGTACTACGACACTGCAAAAAAAGGGGGGGGATAGAGAGATTGAAGGGGTGATGAAAGAATGATGAACCCAGCATCGAAGGGTGCATGGACAAGAGGAGAAAGTTTCTTGAACACAGTTCTGGAAATACCAGTGCAGCAAAAAGAAACTAAGAAAGATATCTCATACAGGGGTGCAACAGCCTAAATATAATTTGGAGGAATTTTTGGAGCAGCATTAAAATGCGAACTCTGAGCAGGTTACAGAAATAAAACATTTATTTTTCATCACGAAAGACCAATTTTGGAGCAAAGAAGAGGAGGACGACATTGTCTGGTGCGGCCTGAGGACTCCATCTTTACTGTGACTGCCGAACTTCATCCTCACCCTGTGAATAAATCCACCTATCCTTTAATTCAACCGTAACAATATGTTGGCACTTGGATTAAATGTTTGGCACATGGATTAAATAGCTTGGCATTCAGATTATTTCAATGGCATGTGGATTATTTAAGCTGGCACTTGGATTAAATCGAGCGGGAAAACCTATAGTATCCTAGGACGTTTATTGGCACGACAAAATGGGACGTAGGGAAGAGTCGGGAAGTTTGGGGTAGTTGGAGGAATGGACCAGCACTTCTATCTTTCCTCCAGTTACTTCAAAGATGTTAGCACCATTTCATGAGTCATTGGCTAACAGACCGGCTGCATAGATGTAATTGCGGGCGTCTTTGGATATGGAGCTTTCTATAACCGGAAGTTGCCCTTTTAACGAGTCAAAAGTAATAAGTTAATGCTATATCAATCATAATGCTCTCAGATTTAAACCACTTTGTGGACGCTGATATCAATTTTCGTCTGAAAAAACTCGTCAGCACTGTACTTTTTAAAAGAAAAACTTTAGGCATTATGACTGAATTTTAGCTACTGAGCGTTTACCTTGGGAAGCGCATAATTGGGGAGGACTGGGACACCGTCTCATTCCACACTATCCTACTGCCACACCGTGTGGCACAATGCCAAAAGAAAAAAAAAAAGGCTATACAAAGGTCATAACATGTAAATTGGGGAAGCATACGATTGAACAAGAATTCACAGAAGTTGGCACAACAGTATTACAAAAAGAACACTGCACAGTCAAGGACTCAAGGCTACTTTTATAGCTTATCCAAAAAAATTAATGCCATTTGCTGAAAGGTTGCTGTTCTTCAGATGAAGAAGACACAACCTATCATTGTCTTTGACAATTCTAATGACATCTCAGGTTTTCATGACTGGCATGAAATTTGTGAAATAAGTTGGTGTAATGAATGTCTTTCTTGTTAGTTTTTGTAAAAAAATAGTGTTAATTACATTGCTAGAGCCATGAGCAGTGATAAGATAAAATGTCAGCGTAATCATGGCCCAGTTTATGCTCAACAAAGAAAAGAGCACTCAGATCTGTTTTATTCCTAAGAAAGATATGGGGAGTTTATACCAATTACCGACACTGTGATGTATGTTAGCTGCCAGTGTTAAAAACTATCGGTAAGGGAAATTTGTGCAACCCCATTTATTGTTTGATGTTGAACTACGTCTTATAATGGTCGCTGAAGACACTTGAACCATTTTTTTACATACGTCTTGACTAGTGGGACATATTTTAGCCATTGCTACCTATATCTTGTACCAACCAGGACCTACAGGAGCCAGTGTGTCTCAGAAGTTGTGTGGTATATTATATTCAATCAAACATAGTTCTGCATTCAAATTCAACAAAACTAAATATATAATTGTGAAAAGTGTCTCAATCCTCCCGACTTTCTCCTAGACAATGATTGCTTAATTTGTGTCTTTCCTTTGTCTAGGGCTTTACCAGTCAGCAATTTCAACTACCCACATGCCTTATTTATATGTTTTTATTAAGTATTGTCATATAATTTGTGAGTTATTGTTTTATTCAGTGTCAGGAAAGTTAAGGCATTTACTTTTTCACAGTAACTATAATTGTAACTGGTTACTCTTGAAAACAAAATGGCACTTGTAAAATGTAAGAGAGTTACATTTTTGACGTGTCCATGACTTAGTGTTCAGTGTGCGATTGTGAATATCTCGTACGTTCATGCATTTCAGGGATATTTTGGTTCTTTCAAGCTGAAGACAGGAGTTAGAAAGATAGGAGCAAGAGTGGGAGGTTCGGGGATATTGTATAGTTTGGAGGGCAGTATTAAAAGGTGAAAACTGGTTTTGGGTTCCTCTAAAAAGTGGATAGAAACCACGGATGACAAGAATTTCCTGGTGGGTGGTGTATTGACAATGTATGATGTGTGTTGAAAATGTGGGTACTGCTGAACTGGCTCAGTATGTCTGTTTCAAGGAAAAGTTGTGAGAGAAAATGGGGGTAGGGGGAGGGTGCAGAATGGTGTTCCCCAATGTGTTCCTCAAAAGGAGCACATGGGGGAACCGGCTTTTTTTTTTCAGGGAGAACAACTTTTTGGCAAAGGAAATGAAAGAGGCTGTTGGCACCCACCGGGTGTTCAAAGCAGTTGGGGCAGCAAACGTTGGTGGCAGCTATCAAATACCAAAATTGCAGCTTTGCAACCGTAGCGTAAAAAAGTTGTTTTAAGGCAAGAGCCTTTGATGTATTATGCTCATGTCCGTATTCGATTCGTCTCACTGTCTATGATTAGTCAATGCAGACCTAGAATTCGCTGGTTTGATTTCGGAAACTTGAACGACCTGCTCCGCCAAACATAATGATATTAACAGTGATGACGAACCTTGAATTGATATTATGCATAGTGCTTATATTCGTGACTAACAGTGCTTGCGGTTTGAGCGGAAACCAGCTAGCGCGAATGTCTTTTACGGTAGAAGTGCAGGTGCGCTGGCAAGCGATTCCACGGCAAGGGGTTCGTAGAGGCACCCCAAGAATGTGGATTCCCTGCCGTGAGTTTACAAAGGCAAGCAGACAGATTGGCTCGCATTTGTAAACTCTAAACTTGCTTCCCTACCGATACCAAATGCGTGCACGCACGCACACGCACGCACACACACGTGCGCGCGCACACACACACACACACACACACACACACACACGCTCACACACACACACACACACACACACACACACACACACACACAGAGAGAGAGAGAGAGAGAGAGAGAGAGAAAGCGAGAACATCATGGAGGAAGGAATAAACTGAGGAGACATATTTTGTGAAGCCGGAAGTAGGGAAGAGTAGAGGACTCCTCCTCGCAATGTTGGGCACACTACGGCAGCTCGCGCATGCGCAACGGTTGCCAGCGAGGAGGCAAGCATCATTATCATTATCGTCAGCCTGACTACGCCCACTGCAGGGCAAAGGCCTCTCCGCCAATCAAGCCGGTCTTCTGCTTTCCATTGCTACGTTATACTTGCGAACTTTTTAATCTTATCGGTCCACCTAACTTTCTGCTCCCCCTTCGTGTGTTTGCCCCGGTTTGTTCCCTGAGCCACTCTGCTCTCTTCCTGTCTCTTAAGTCACTCTCCGCGGTTACTACCTGTCCTAGTAGACATATCCCTTTACAATGTTCAGCGTCTCTCCACCTATTATAAAGTGCTCTTTTCCCCCGATACTGTTGCACATTACTTTAGTTTTGTGCATATTAATTTTCAGACCAACTTTTTTGATTTCTGTGTCCAGTTCAGTAATCATGAGGTCCAATTTGTCCCCTCAGTTACTCATCAAGGCAATGTCATCAGCGAATCACAGTTTACTAAAATACTCACCATTAACTCTTATCCCCAACTGTTCCCAATCTATAGGGTCCTGAAAACCCCCTGTAAATATGCGGTGAATAGCATTGGAGCGATCGTGTCTCCCTGCGTTACATACACCCTTCTTTATTGGGATTCTGTCGCCATCTTTATGGAGAACTATGTGACTGTGGATCCACTGTAGATTTCTTCCAGTATGTTTATGTAAGGTTCTTCGATGCTCTGATTTCGTAGTGCCTGCATTACTGCTGATGTCTCGACTGAGTCAAATGCCTTCTAATAATCTATGAAAGCTATGTATGAGCGTTGGTTGTATTTCACGCATTTCTCTTAGCAGGTTGATAGTATGAATATGGTCTATTGTGGAGTAGCCTGTACGAAATCCTGCTTGGTCTTTTCATTAGTTGATTGAACTCTAATGTCACCTCAATTCTATTAGCTATTATTTTTATAAATAGTTTGTAGAGAATGAAGCGTAAGCTGATTGGCTTGTAATTTTTCAAGTCCTTGACGTCTCCTTTCTGGATTAAGATAATGTTGGCGTTCTTCCAAGATTCTAGTACCCTTCCTGTCAAGAGTCTCTTTGTATGTAAGGTGACCAGTTTTTGTAGCACAATTTCTCTGCCATCTTTCAGAAGGTTCGTGGTTACCTTATCCTCACCAGCGGCTTTGCCTTTTTGCACTGCTTTTAGGGCTTTCCTTACTTCCCCTGCCGTTACTCGTAGTATGTCGGATTCCTGTGGACTATTATTATTCTCACGATATCAGCCCGGTTGTTTTGGAGGCGAGCATAGTTTCCTAATAATATATATTTAGGAAACTCTATGGAGGCGAGCTGCGCGAGCCGATTTCGGACGTCTCGGGCGGCACTGCCGCCGCCATCGAGCTGGAAATGCGTAACTCTTGTGCGGATTATTAGCAAACGTGCTGCAATTGGGGAGTGCCTGTGTGTCATTTGCAGCCTCATTACGGCTCATATTGTGAATCTACAATAAACTTGCAACTTCGTGTTTAATCCACTGAACTCAAGAGCAAGAGCACCTGCAAATCGGTTGGATAATCGCCACGACAGTCTGCTTTTTCTGCAGATACGGTAAGTTTGGGGTACGGAACATAATGTAACAACTAGTGAAATGTCATTTAATTTGTCTTGCTATTTAGCCAGATGAAGTACCTCCGAATCAATTGTTTGCCTTGTGTGCCACTATACGTGCGCAAGAGTATCGTTCGCAGCAGCGTGCGAGTCAGCCGACTGCGACCATATAAAAAAAAATATATATATATTGGCCAAAGAAGGGGTTTCCACGCGCAAAATGTAAACAGGAAGCGATAACTCAAACAATAAATTGCCTGTGTTAGGCATGTCTATTCTTGACTCGGGTGAGCACCAGTGAGAACAGTGGGCCACGTACTGCTTTCCGATCGTAGTGACCGTCGTTCACGAAAACGGCTAACCCCCGCCTCTCGCATTGAGAGCCGTAGACGCTGCCGTTCTCGTCTTGAAATTATAGGTTTCCTTTGCTGAGGCCAACAACAGCGAAGCTGCGGCGCCAACCATTTTCGGAGAAGTGGTCACGAGTAGTAAACGATCGCTTTATACCTTAAGCAATATAAAATACACTCGCAGCCGTGAAGAACAACTATCACTGTAGGCTTCTGACACATTGCATTATCTTTGAAGAGCAACAGCTGCATAAAAATGCACATTAAGAACTCCAGCCGGCTATCAACAACGCGGTCATTCGAGTGGTGATTCAGACCACTCTATGATGCAGACGACACGAGACGCCGGCGTGCCCTCCTAATCCCACAACCCCCTGCAAAAGCATGAGACTTCCTCCACACTTCTTACTCTGCAGCTCTACTACAGTGTACTAAAATAGTTTTCTAGTATACTGTAGCAGCTCGCATGGCGAGGGCCCATGGAGGAAGGGCCTCTCCTCATCTTTTCGTCCTATATAAAAAAAAAACATCATTTAACGAATTATGCCATCCGAGATGGCAAACGCTTGCCATCTCAAAGGTCATGACCGAACACATAAGGCTCGTTAAGTTAGCGCGCTCGGAACTCTGAAGAAGCACACCCGAGTGCACTCAGGTGTGACACCTGCAGCGGAGTGCTTCGAAGCTGCCGAAGTTTCAGCCGACTGCCTTTGGGGGCATGACAGCGCGGCGGCGGCAGTGGCTGTTTGGCGGCAGTAGGAACAGGTAGGAGCATGTGGGAATACTGTAATCGAACAGAAGGCAGCAGAAAGGGGGGTGGTATTGGGGCATTCATTCATAAAAGTACAGACTGGCAAAGGGTCAAGCAGGAGTGCAAGGAACATTTATGGCTAAAAGGGAAAGTGGCAGGGCAAATGGCACTCCTTGGTTTCGTGTACCTGTGGACAGGAGCAAAGGCCAAAGAGGAAAACCAGGCAAAGGTAGAGTGTATATCAATGGACATTCAGGAGTTAGGAGGAGAGTGCGAGATAATTATACTAGGAGATATGAATGCACACATAGAAGATATATAGATGGGTATACCGACCTGACAGGCAAAATGATCATGAATATGTGTGAAAGGCTTGATTTTATCATTTGCAACAGTACCGAGAAGTGTGAAGGGCAAATAACATAGAAGGTAGGAAGGCTGCAGTCGACGATAGATTACGCACTGATGTCACATAGTATGTATGATAAGCTCAGGGGAATGCACATAGATGAAGGTGGCTCGAGAAGTCTGGGTAGTGATCACAAACGTATCGAGCTAAGTTTTGGAAGAGCAGTGAAAGTGGGAAGGAAACAAGTGAGCAACTACAAGAATATTTTTATTCAGAAAGGCAAGTTGAAATAGCCACTAAACAAATTGAAAAAGCTATCACTGAGAATAATAAAACAGCGTGGACATACAGGAATCTAATTAGACTGTTTGAGCTAGAGCTTGCTAAGGCATGTGACAAGTCACCCTGGAAAAGAAGACACAAACCCAAAAGTTGGTGGGATGAGGAAGTTAAGAGAGCCATAGCAAAAAGTCAGGAAGCCTCTAGGGAACAAAGACATGCTAAGCAGCGGGGTGAACCGACAGATGATGTTGAAAGAAAATGAGAAATCTTTCTAAGCTGTAGAAGGGATGCATCCCTTCTGATCAATGAAAAGATTAGAAGAAAGGCGGCCCAGTGGCTGGCAGAAGTACATAAAAAAGATAGAAGGCAGCTGCGAAATTTTGGAACCATCTAAACTTCCTAAGAAATGAGACGAGCCTAGAGCAGAAGTTTATAACTACAGCTCAAGGTGCTAGGCTAGAAGGGGACGAAGCTATTGGATATATAAGAACAAGGGTGACAGAAAAGTTTCAACTCAGAAGTGCTTTACGCACCACAATAGACAAGGATCAACAATATAGTTTTTTTTTTAAACTCCCAACCACACGTTTGCCGATTTCACCTCAAAGGAAAATTGCCGTATGAAGATAGTTATAGCGCGAGAACAGAACGATGACAAAGAGACAAGAAAGACACGAAGGACCTTCTTGTCTTTTTGTCGTCGTTCTCGCGCTATAACTATCGTCACGTCATACCAACTAGCCCACTTCTACGTAGTATAAACTTTTGAAAACCGAAATTCCTGTATTCATGCTCAGCATCGCATTTCGTTTGATCATAATAACTGTTTTAGTACCGACTACGTCCCGACACTGAAATTTTAAGTTTGGCATTAGGAAGGTTAGGCTCTTTTGAAAAAGTCCTTCGAGCATTTTTTAAGTGCAAACTGTTTTTTTTTTTCTAGTCGTCATGGTAACGCTTCTGTGGTGGTGTGATGGAGGAGGGAGCACTTTATTGCACACCGACGCTGACATCAAAAAAGAAAAGGCGCGCACAAGAAAAGGTATAAACTAGTTTCCCGCATGCTTGGACTTTATGCAAATGTTCGTGGCACGTATTAGCAATATTGGATTGCGTTTTGAACGCTAATAGGCGCAGCAAAACGTTGTGACGATGATGCGGAAGTAGTGCAGTTTCGATCGATTGACTTCGTTCCAGTTGGAGCGCCTGGCTGATACTTCCGCAATAAATGAGTGGAGCAATAGGTTTTATTGGAGTAGTGTTGTGTGAGATATTTCGGCTAATTACATACTGTTTAATACGCACAACAGTTACACGACATCCTCAATCCTTCTCCAAGGCGTGTTGGCTCGCGCCCCAGTGCGTTGTAGATGGTCGCTTGCCGACAAAAACATAAGAGGTATCAATCTTTCATTTTATCGCTGACCGTTTGCTTTTACATTCGGCTGCTTCTACACTACCAGTCGAACAGCAAGCATAGGTTCCGTTACAGTGAGCTTAATCATCGCTACAAATTTTAGAGCGAGTTATCATGCAGTTACCAATATTAAGTTCAGTTATTGCTCCTGTGTCCAACCGCTCGCCATGCGAATAGACTGTTTTCATGTGCATGTTTTAGATGGTACTCTTTGGTCGTCCGGGTGCATGTGCACTCTAATCTGTTTTCTATAGTCAGTAGATTTTATTCAGCCGCCAATGGTGACTCGACCTCTATGCTGACCTACTCTATTCTGGCAGGATTCAGTCTTTATCGAGCATGTGGTATGAGACCAAAGGAAATCATCAGCAGACACCAGCGCACAAATTACGTGGATTAAAAATAGCCCTACTATCCCTTCCGCCCAGACTTGTGTGTGTGCATCAAAATGTGTGCGATCTGCACATTGCTGCTCAAGAGAAACGTTAGAGTGCTTGTACCGCACTCGTGCCATTCAACAGAACCGACTGAGCACTAGCTCGAACTGTAGTGACATACTGAAAAGCCACGGGTCGTCATAGCAGACCTGCAGGTGATGCAGGACAATGTGGGACAGTTTATTCAGCATACACTTGTTGTTAAATTCAAACAGCTGCATTAGAAGTGTGGCAGCTTGGGCTAGTTGCTATGGCATGACGATAGTTATAGCGCGAGAACAAAACGACGACACAGAGACATGTCCTTTTTTTCGTGTCTTTCGTGTCCTCCTTCTCTCTGTGTCGTCCTTTTGTTCTCGCGCTATAACTATCGTCGAGCTGCATTGAGCCAAGTTGAATAGTGGGTTTCAAATAGAGATACAGAGATAAATAGAAAGGAAAGGCAGGGTGGTTAACCAAGCTTGGCTCGGTTGGCTACCCTACACTTGGGGGGGGGGGGGGGGGAGGGAGAATAATAGAAAGGAATCAGATAGAAAAGAAGAGGAGTAAGAAAGAGAAAGATGAATAGTCAGCTCGAGACTACACAGCATGGTGTCACACTGTTCTTTCACAAGCGGTCGTGAAGTCTGGTGGTCGTTAAGACGTGTCAGAAATTATGGAAATAGCATTATGGTGAAAGACATGCCACTAGCTTTTTTATGTTCGTGAAGATTTTCTATGTCATTCATTCATTTAGGAAGACTAGAATCTGGTGTGTGTTTGAAAACATCTTTGCTGCTGCTAAAAAGATCTCCACGAAAGAAGATGAGGACGACGACACGGGTGACTAACAGAAATCTACAAATACATAGTGTGCAGAATAAAATATGCTTATAAACAAGAGCATTTGGGCAGCCACGCAAAACGAATAGTTACTCTAAAAAATAATGGGACACATACTAATGTGACCTCCATAAGAGTGAACATTACTTTTTTATTTTGTTAGACTTAGGAGAGCCTTGTCAAACACAGACACCATGCACAGTCGTTCCGATTGTGCTATTGTTTAAAGTCATATCGAATCAGACTAATTCTCAGCAAGAATAACCGAGCGTTGAGCTAGTTGGTGCGTATTCATTCTAAAAAGACAGGGTGTGCACTGACACTAAAAGTTAGTAGGTGTCTGCAGTTTCCCGACTTCCTTCTTGTGTCTGTGTTTGCACGCCCTGTCTTTTTAGAAGCATTTTCATTTCCTGATGTCTTACATATACGCAAGCGGTGCATTTCTCTGAGATTGAACATGCAAATAGCTGTCAGAGCTGCATACATTTTAGGTCTGACTACGTAGTGGTGCAGATCCTGAAAGTGTTCCTATAACACATATGCTTTTGTCACATTTCAGTGCAGTTTTTAAAACCTTGTTTTTATTGTTTTATTCTTGTTTAAGTATGTACTGTTCCGAATGATGAGATATGATAGTATTAGATCTGAAAGAAATTATAAATTATGACACTTCTTAAATTTTCTTCTATATATAAAACAAACCTTCTCCAAGCAAAAATGAACAGACATGATGAAAATTTGTGATGATAACAGTGACTGTGTATTTCTTGTTTTCCTCATGTACATCAGCATTTGTTGCATAAAAAATAGCGACACACTCAAATATTCACTTTTTCAAAAGACGAGGAGCATGTGTGAATTCACTTCCACAAAGTTTTTAAGCATAGATATCCACACTTTTTCCTGCAGCATGATAGCACCATGCTGCAAAGGAAATAGAGTGATGACACCCAAGCAGCTGTAAGGTTCAGCATTTTCTTCTAATTAGGCAGGTATGAAGGAATAACACCTTTTGTTGCCTGAGTGTCAATGCATGAATGAGGACATCTGTACAGATCACAGGTATGCAAGTTTCACTTCACATGACACTGCTCATGTCATACCATTATTGCATATATTAGCTGCTGTGTAGTGTGTATGCATGATCAAATGGTAGTACAGAAGACTACAAGTCATAGCCTTTTCATATTTTTCTAGTATTCACACTGCTTTAACCTTTGTATTACTTGCTGCTAGACTTAACAGCACATTGGCAGAACTGCGTTATAAAACACACATACACACACACATGTGGAAGAAAGTGTGTGCTTAATTAAGGGCTCGTTTTTTCTTGCTAGACACAAAAATAATGATATCTAACAGACAATAATCCAAGAAAAGTTATTAGACCTAATTGTAGTGTAAATGTGAAGAAAGAAAAGTGGATGACAAGATATATATATATATATATATATATATATATATATATATATATATATACAAGGGAAAGAAGTGTATACCTAAGGGCTCGTTTTTCTGTGTTTTGACACAATAATGATGAGATCTAACAGATAATAATGCCAAGGAATGTATAGGGGAAGTTATTAGAACCAATGTAATGTAAATAAGAAGAAAGAAAAGTGGGTGATAAAATAACCTGCCGTGAGCAGGAATCGAACCTACAACCTTCGATTCCTGCTCACGGCAGGTTATTTTTTCACCCAATTTTCTTTCTTCTTATTTACATTACATTGGTTCTAATAACTTCCCCTATACATTCCTTGGCATTATTGTCTGTTAGATCTCAATAATATTATATATATATATATATATATATATATATATATATATATATATATATATATATATATACACACACACACACACACACACACACACACCACATACATACATACATACATATATATATACCCAATAGAGTGGATGGGGGAGACAGCCGCAGTGGTAGCTCAGCTGGTAGAGCATCGAACGTGTTATTCGAAGTTCGCAGGTTCGGTTCCTGCCCACGGCAAGTTATCCTTTCATCCACTTTTCTTTCTTCACACACACGCACACACGCATGCACGCGCGCACACACACACACACACACACACACACACACACACACACACACACACACACACACATACATATGATCCACATTGCGCATGCCTTATCCTGGAAAGTAATAATGGCTTTGGTGATCAGTAGCCTTGAAAATTATTTATTTGTTCTGTTTATTTGAACTTTTTTATTTTAGAGATGGAGATGGTCTCGGATCACAAGGCTAAAGGCAGAAAATCGTCTGCCTGAAGTAAAACTCGCCACCTGTATGCTGCCCAACATATATGCAGTTCATACCAAATAAGAAAGCATGAATAGATTTTTAATCCAAAGTTATAGCAATTATGCAATAAAAAGTCACTTATACAAGAAAAATAAATGTGCTTCAATTTTTCAAACAAGATGCTCAGCGAGGACAAAATGAACACAAAACTAAAGAAAAGCGTATACCGTCTATAGGAAACTGGAAATAACAAGCCACAAGCATTATTACAATATAGTAACATGAAGTAGAATTTTGAAAGGAATAATTCAGTTTGGTTTGTGGTTTATCGACACTCTACAAGATATTGATCCTGGCATTATTATTGAAGAAACACTGTCAGTTGTGTAGCTTTTATGACTGCTTTTTCACCTCTAGACACATTAGTCTTTCTAATGTCTTCTTCAGGGGAGTTCTGAAAAGAAGAAAAGCCAGCATACCATGTCACATTACCTGACATTCAGCTCAACACTGTGAAATTTCATTACCAAAGCTTTGCATTTGAGTACCTGTTCTGGAGTGAATATATTAGTGCGTAAACAAAAGAAACCTATCTGCAAGTTTTGTCACATGGTTCCTGGATGTGTGGAATTTTTGCACTGATAACAGTGTGGTGTCAGCCTCAGCTTGAATTGATGCAGGAGCTTGTTTTTTTACTGTCATTTGCTGTTCAGGTATTGTCAGTATAAACAGTCATACACTATATCAGTGTGCTGAATATGAGTCTTGGAAGCATTAAAACTAGCTCAACATGCCTTAGAGCAGTTCACTTTTGCTGAAGAGCTGATTGAGTGTACCTTAAGTTCATAGGAGTTTTGGCAGTGTTTCTCACCGTAGATATAATTGCATCAGGAGCCTTAAAACTGCAGAATGAAAGAAAGTGGAGACAGTGTAATGAAGGGATAATAATGAAGTCAAAACTAATGCAATTAGCAATGTGAATTTCATTTAAAGTGGCACTTTCTTTGCCCACTGTCATGTGACTGTGCATTGGTTGCTTGGTCAGTCACTGTGTTTTCACGAAGTGGACACTTCCTCACCGGCGGTACAACGATGCTCAGTACAAACCATGCCTAGTTGTATTATAACTATTGAAACCTCAAATGTTATCGATCATTCTATTCAGAGTGCTTGTATGACACAAATGATTGAGCAGAATCTCAAACATACATGAGCCCCAGCAATAATTCTGGAATTTCCCATCGCCAAAAAACCATGCTCTTTGTTGTTGAACATTGAGTGCTTTGTTTTGGGGTGTAAAAGTTTGCCCTTTAAGAGTTCTATCTTTACCAATTTGGCTGCTGTTTTATTAACTATCGCAATCATAAGAGAATATGGGGGCAAATTCATCAATTCAACATAAACCTGACATGTAGAGAAAGGTGGCAGCAGATGGCATTATATCTGGGAGGTATTTTTGCTACCTGCTTGACATCATGTGGTGGTGGCTGGAAATCGATGGCATGGAAAATGCTCTTTGCATGTTTACTTGTTCATTTTTAATTTTTGATTCATTCATTCATACATTTATTTTTGCAACAAGCATGTTTACATATACGTTTGAAGCAAATGTGAGCAAAAGCTGCTAAAAAGAAGCATGACAAAACTTCCATATCTCTTGCATACTTGGCAGAGCAATGCAGAAAACACTTAGCAGTCTGGTAGTATCTTCTTAGATTGAGCGAAAACCTTATATGCATGCATAAGTATGCTGTAACATGGCAATAGAGTTGGGAAGCTTTTGCTTCACCTGAATTGCATCACTTGGCAGAAGACTGAAGAAGAGAGCATGAAAAGCAATCACTACACATTACATCATTTTTGTTCATTGAGTAAATGCCCAACATGCATTTTTGAGTGGTGTCACGTGGCAGTGATGCCGGGGTGCTTCTACATTACCTGAATGACATCATTTAGCAGCAAATATAAAAAACTAGCAGAAGAAATCATGGCCCACCCACAATCTTGGAGGTGCTTCTTGTACGCAATGGCAACTTCATTGAAATTTTGTTGGTATGCACAAAAAGCCACTGCAACAATATCAAACAGAAGCCATTCAACGAGTTCCTTCACAAAGCCTATTTGGTTCCATTAGAACTGGACCATATCGAGGCACTCAAGTCCGGAGATCACAATAGCAATAATGCCTGTAGTAACTACCAAATCTTCAAATTTCACTACCAAACGTAAACAACATTCTCGTAAAATACTTCTCATTCTGACCACCACCTAAAATCTTCAAAAAATTCTCCCCAAAGTGCCTAAGTCTTGTACAGGCATAATACCAATTTTAAAGATATTGCAGGAAGGTATACTGAAGGACCAGTTCGTACATGTTACTTGTGATGAAAACAGCACGAAATGGAAAGGAGAGTGATAATCAAACTACACAATAGTGCTGCGTTGTTTGATTCTCACCTTCTGTAAAATTTGTGCACAATTTTCATCACCTTTAAAGACATGCTCGTCCCTGCGAAACTGAAAACAAAGACCGAGTCAACATCTGGTCTCTGTGACCACTTCAGATACTCTACATGTAAACATGTGCAGCTGGCTACCAACTTAAAAATCTCAGGATCAGATTACTTTCACTAGGTAACATCGAACTTCACCTGTGCCTGAAGTTACCTAGTCTACAGTGTGTAGTGTACCACCTATAACAAATACATAAGCGAGACTGGAAAACCAATTCATATAAAACTCAATGGCCGCTGCACTGATACAATCCACAATTCATCAAAAGCAGCAGCTAGACATTGCACTTAGGAGGACCACAACTACACCCAAGCAAAAGTTTATGTACCATACAATTTTTCATTTACCAGCCAAGTAAACATACATAGAGTTATACCTAGTAGTTTAAATTTCTACACCCATCAAGAATAAATCTGCCAAATAGTGATTTGGGATTGCTAAAAGGTGTGGCATCAGATATGACTAAGAGACACCCATGTTCAACCTTCAAGTAACTTTGGCTGTCATCCCATTTACAACATTATTATTTATTATTATTAGCTTGCCTTGTAGTTTGTTATCATGTTTTGTGCTTTCTCTTTTTTTGTCTAACTTTTTGAATCTACTGTGGTTTTGACTCTTCCATGCTTCTACAACTTGTACAGTTGTCTGATGACAGACTTGTCAATAATATAATTACAGTAATTAAATTACTTTTTCTTCTAGTGGGTAATCTAATAAATTACTCTTGTGGGCTGATAATTTAATAATCTAAATAGAAATGTCTGCTTTCTTTATGAAATAAAAATTTCACTGGAGAAGGAAAGAAAAATACCAAAAACAGGTTGATATCAGTACCAAACCTTTGGTGTGGGAGGGAGAGAGGCACCCAAAGAAGCCATATATCATTTGAACTGGAAGCCTTAAATATTTCTTATCATCTTTACTTTCCCCTCCCCCCATCTTTAAATGTGCTAAGCCATGCCCTTGCGACAGGAGGCAGAAAACAGCGTCTTTTTTTATCTCTTCCACTTTCATTAACCTCTCTCTCTTAAATATCATTGCTTAAGTAACTAGTGGTGTGATTGAATTGCTTTTTAGGAGTAATTTTACTATCTCAGGTCCAATAACCACTTCTATCTCTGCATAACTACATCCCCTTCCTCCCCATTAACTCCCTCTGCCTTCACAGCTTTTCTTTTTCAACATGCTTATTCAGTCTGCCTGTTTTCAGTATGGCTTATTCAACCAATGCAAATGCGGCCTATAGTCTGTTTATGAAGGGTTCAGGAAGAATGGCACTAGCTACACAACTGCAGAAAGACAAAATAACTATCCAGTACTGTAGCAAAAGCTTTATTCGGAATGGTGCTCAACCAACTGGTCGAACTTCACTCTCACTGATATTTCATTTTTATTTTGCTTAACTTTTTGCTGGAGGCTCTTTATGGTAGTGATGCAGCGAACCAGTTGGTGATTGTTAGCAGCTCTATCTCTGCCTCTCTCGCTCTCTTTTTTTGTTTCATTTCATGTATTTTTATTTTTTCTGGGCTTTTTTTTTCTTCTTTACTGTCCGTTACTCTTAAAAGAACAAATCTTCAGTTTTTAGTCACTGCTCTTTGCCCTTTTGTTGTAGAGTACTAATACTATCCTGGTGCCATTTTCAATGTGCATTTAAATGACTCGTGCTCAAAGTTCTATTGGCAACTGAGGTGTCATGTTTGCCTCTCAATTGAAGTGTTGCTTGTCAAGACAGCAGTGCTTATGGCAGCAGGTGGCTGCTACACTTGGTAACATTCCCATAACTGAGCTTGCTGTTCAATGCTGTGAATATGCTTGGACCACAGCCCATATGTGATTTTCCTTGGCATTTATTATGTGTGCATTATTTTTTTTTTGCTCTATGATAAATGTTTGTCTTTATATACTCACTTGCACACCCTCTCCTGTAAGATGTGTGGTAGACCACTTAAGTTAGGTTGTAATCTGTGATGTTTGGAACTCTGGCTGTAGCATTAAGTCCAATCAAGTGAGGCCAGAGGCTGAATTTGATGTGTTTGGACTGTTGTGCTTGTGTGTGTAGCTGCTACGTTCGCCTGTGGCGTGTGCCCTCCTGCCAGCCATCAGCCTACTGGCAGTTCCAGGAGCCAGCCTGGAGCCAGCCCGTCCAAGCATGTCGGGGCCCTCGCCGGGCAAGACCTCTCGCTTTCCTATTGCTGTGGATATTCCTGTTCCACCAGAGCGACGAACGTCAGCTATCAATATTGTCACTAACCCCAGCTTTGATGGTGGCTTGGAACAGCCCCAAGAAGAAGCTCTGTAAGTGGTTTCGTTTACATGATAATGTTTGTTCAGTACTGTGTATGACACGCAACACCACTGTCTTATGGGTGCTTTGAATGAATGCAGCTACTCCACAATTCAGCCAAAGCACGAGTGTGGATCTAGTCCTGGAACGCCACCTCCCCCTCTGCCTCCAAAACAGCTTGAGGTTCTCTACACCAAGCCTATTAAGGTAGGAAGTGTTGGTTTCATCTATGTATATTTACACAGTACTACATACCGGTTTCGCATCACATTCAATAACTTGTCATGTTTGGTTGTTCACTTTATATTTCTGTTGTGAAGTTACTCATGAGTAAATTAATTAGAAGTCATCAGTGAGGACCTCCATGTTTACATACATAGTGAGTGTATTGGTATGCCATTCATGCATGCATCCACATTTTAACGTGCTTAACTGTGTAAAGATCCTCACCTTTGTTGCTAGTCTTGCACAATGCCATGTGTGCTATACAGCCTACTTTTTTACAAAAGACGTGCACCAAGAAGCAATTCTTGTTTTACATGAGATGTCTCTTATAAACAGGGTACAACTTATGCATTTTCTTATCAACCCCTGTTTGAAAGGGACACTAAAGTGAAACAATGAATTGGTTTAGATTGATTGTGCTCTCTGAGAGCTCTAATGTCATTAATCATACCATCATAAATTCATTATTAGATGAAAAAATCAATGTCAAAGTACTATTTTTAAGTTTCGCGCTGAACTCTACATGCATGACGTCCCGAATTTCAAAGTGTAATAGTTACTTTTGCCATTAGTGGCTCGACGAAATTTTCCAAAACTTGGTAAGTTAAGTGTCTGGCCCCATCAGCAGACATTGGGCTTCAGTATTATCTATTAGGAGCTGCATGGGCCATAGTAAACACCGTCAAAATGTATGATGTCATGAAGTTAAGGTGGCATTGCCACCTGCATTTTCTTCTTGTGCTTTTTCTCGCTTACCAAGCGTATTCTTGTGGTGACATCGGCATTGTGAAAAGGTAACTTATTAATAGCAGAAAAATTGTTAACCTCTTTAGTGTCCCTTTATCGTAGGCACACTGGTGTCTCTAAACCCATATGTCTGTTACATCAGTGTCTCTTATAAATGGGTTTGACTGTAAATGCAGATGTGAACAATGGAATTCATCCTATTACCTAAAATACCATGTTATTAATATAAGCCATACTTATCTTGTTTGCATGCTTTGTTGTAATTGCCAACTATTTTAGAACTCTTTCAAAATTTGTTGTCATTCAAGTTGTTAGTCAACTTCACTGAATTCACCTTATTACTCTTGAATTTTTAAGGGTCTCTACTTTTTATATTTATGCTACATAGCTGCTGTACATGGTCATTTGAGAACTATTGTCATTGATATTATGTTTCTTTATGCAGGTGAAAATCAGCCACGAATGAGCAGAACGAATTTCTTGTCCAGCGACTAACTAGTTTACTTACTTTAAATCTTATTGTAGCTGCAATTACTGTTCCTTGAGAAAGGGTGTTTGGTTAAACAGTGCTTTTGGTTGAATAGTACTGAACTACAGCACATAAAAGACAACATAATTGCACTCATTTTGTAAATGCCAAAATGTTGCCAATTGTTATAGAGACAACTCTGTTTACTCAGCTGACATCAGAATGGTCATTGTGGTGATCTTGTATTGGTTGCTCAAACACAACTTATGACAGACAATTACTGATAAGGTTTTTGTTCTCTGATGTGAAGAAAATGTACAAACTAGAACAATGTGTTCATGCCAGACATATTACTGAATATAAAAGTATAATTCAGTATAGGTTAACTCTATAGACTGGAACAATGTGTTCATGCCAGACATATTACTGAATATAAAAGTATAATTCAGTATAGGTTAACTCTATAGACTGAACCTTGATATCAATGCTTCAGCACTATGAAGGTTTCATTTGCATTTTTATTTTTTATGTTTGAAAAAAAAAAAAAAGAGCCAATTTTAGTAAGTTAGTGGACATAGATTACGGGTTCACTTGAAAGCTGGTTCTGTAGATTATGGAAAGACATTCTTATTTATTTCTTTTTTACCTGAATATTTGTTTTTCATTGTGTTAGCATGTTTAAATAGTAGAATTTGGAAACGTACATGCACATGGCCATTTACCTCCTTGTACGCACGTGTGTATATTGGGTGCATCGACAAGAGAAGGCCTGTCTTTTATTAGTGCATAGTAAACCACCTGCAGGGCGTAGATGTTCAGGCATATGGGTTCGAAACCCGGGTGGCTCGTTATGCATTTCGCCCCCGCTGGCGCATGGGCACGCTACTTTTGGTACTTCGCGGCAGCAAACATATTCCCGGTCATTACCCACTGGCCGACATCGACCGCACGTGCACCTGCAGTAAATGTACATTTCATTGTATCTTATACAAACTGATATGTATGTCGCACAGCCAATCAACTTCAGAATAATATGATACGTGAGGTGTACACTGCCACTTGTATGTGTGCGTGCTCAGAAGTATTCGTTTGGCCGCTCACGACCGGCAAAATAATAATTTTTGTCGCAAGTATTGACAGCGTAAGTACACGATCAGTGCAACAGCGTATAGCAATAAATTTGACAGGGCAGGCGCCGAACGCCCACGGTGCACCGACGCAAAGAATAAAATATGTAATATATTGCTTTAATTGAAACCCTGGCTGTCATATAAAATGTGCTGAGTTAATAATTATAACACAATGTAACATAACCTTCCAAAAGGTGAAGCATCACCACTTACCAGTCAGTATTACCACTTTGTTGGACATGCTGTTGAACTTCATTGTCGGCCTTTGACACGGCATGGGCCTCTTCTTCTTCATCACTGGCCAGGGGATCAAAAATAAAATGATTGTCTGGATTTTTAATCAAGCCGTGTGTGTCGTCCTCCTCACTGCTTTCAGAAAAAAAAAGTCGATGTCCTTATCGGGGTCGGACGCAGATGCAGAGGATTCAGAATCTTGGCTACTGCAGCTGGCCATGGCGACTGTCAGCGCGTTTGTTTTGCTGGCACTTATGTGGCGTGTGTGTGAGAGCAGACAAAACTCAGCACGAAGTGCGTCACAGCCTTGTGTGGTCACGTCACCAAGCTACCTATGCATCGACGTCACTGCCCAACTCGGCGACACGAAACCGAAGCCAAAGATGGTCCTTATAAGTAGAGCTATATTAAATTATTTAGCAAAAATACACGAATCTTGGTGCGTGTATCATGCTTCCTGGAGCTGAAGGAAACGCTTACAGCAAAGAACACGCATGCCACAAATTTCGTTGCATCACCTCTTTAATAAGTTCTTGCTCTAAGCACAGGCAGAATGATGTGACAGTTTAGCAGTAGGAGCATGACATCCCAAGTTAGATTTCTCATTGTTAATTGTTATCCAGAGCCGAAGGGGCACCCTGAGAAGCTTCTAGCGCTTAATGGGAAAGGTATGCAGTGGGTGTGTTTGAGTACTGGTTCTAAAGGCTCACAGCAAATCCAAACAATGTCAACATGTGGGGAACTATCACATTGACTGTGCAGATTGTTGTACATTTCATTCCTGTGCCAGCTATTGAAAATGTGTCATTACAATGTTTAATTGGAAAGATTACATTGGTGACTGTGTTGATCAGTTGTGCTTACTAAAATATTGGCAGCACACAAAGGGGACACAAACAAGCGCATACTGAAACTTGTATACGCCTATCATGATACAAAAACTTGGGAGATTGTGCAAGCCTTTTTCATTAAAAAAAAAGAATATTCAAGGTTGTGTCAGCTCACCGTCTGAATTGCTTTTAGATTGTAAACTATAATTTCTGGATGACACTTGATTACGGGGGATCCTTTCCTCTTGTATATCCCTTTCACTTCATGTTTTTTTCGTATATATTATCTTCTGTGAATGAATCTAAGTTTCATTCTGCGCTTGTTTGTGTCCTCTTTCTGTATCCCGTTTGTATGCACTGCCAATATTTCAGTATGAATCTATACCAACCAGCCCACCTATCAACTCTTCTGGTGAGTGGTGATTGTAACATATCGTTGCTGTGCATCTTCTCAAGTGCAGTATCAGCAGCAGAGCAATTCATTGCTACCATGCTGCGTAGTGCATCTCCCTCGTTTTCCCGAATTTGATGCATTATTGCAATTTCCAATGGTATTCTTGTGGGTATGAATTATGTCCTGAGCTTTTATCAAGACTGTACACTCTCTGCATACTGATAACTAGGACAATACACAAATAAAGACTGGTAACTAGAAGGGTTCTAAGCAACATATGTAGTGGTGCACAGGCTGCATTCATCATGTCTTGTAGTCCTTGTTCATTAACATTTTGTTGCTACAGAGACATAGCAGATAATGTAAAGCAGAACCATATTAAGATAAAAAAATGCATCTATCTGTTCAGATAATAAAAAAGTCTGAACCTAAGCTCATTTAAAGCATTTGCCTCTTTCTGCCCAAAATTAAACTCACCTCATCATGGGTATTTTAATACTTTCAGCATGGTTCGTCACACCTGACCACAGGCACAATTAGAGCGATTCCTGTACAAAATCTATACGTGGAATCACATTAGTAGCCATTTGATCTGCAAAGAAGATACCTATAAGCAGGGCAGTACCCAGGAATTTTTTGTGGGGTTGTTTATATGTAGAATGGCTAACTTTGGCAACTGGTTGTTGATGTGAAGGTGTGTAAATATTCTAGTTTCACCCGAAATGTTGAAGCATGAAAAAATTTCGGTGCAGTGTCAGAACACTCAAACTCACCCCTAGGTACGTCTATACTTCAAGGATTCCTATTTCTCTTATTTTACGCTATAGCAGGTGAATTCCTACAGTACAATCAATAACAACCTCATTGAGAGAGTGAGTGAATGAGTGACAACTTTTCTCACTGCATGTGAGGAATCCTGGTGACTTCTCTTATTTTATGCTATAGCAGGTGAATTCCTACAGTACAATCAATAACAACCTCATTGAGAGAGTGAGTGAGTGAGTGACAACTTTTCTCACTGCATGTGAGGAATCCTGGTGACAGTTCTCTAATTTACTGTAGTGAAGGCCTAATTGCCATTGATCTGAGTGTTTATTGATTACACGTTTCTTAAGTCACAAGGCCTGCTTTAGAGGCATGGCTTGCACTTCTAGAACTCCGCTTTAAGTACTGTGCTCCGCATTTCACACAGACATTTCAAAATTATATGTTGGCATGCAGTTGGATCAGCTTTTGCACATGCAAATATTTTTACATCAGAGGCCTAGCCAGTATTGTCAATGACGAAATACAATTTAAGGGGCAACACATTTAAGGGCAACACTTTTCCTAGTAATTGCCTAGTGGCTCATTAAAAAGCTTATTGCCTCATGAATCGACTGCTGCATAAAGTTTTAAATCCATCAAGCACGAGCGGACATAAAAGGATTCATAGCACACTTAGAGCGCTTTTTCTGTCCTTTATTACCAATGAGTGCACTGAAAGCTATGCAGGGAGGGGAATAAGGGAGTAAGGACACTCGTCTCTTCCAGCGTGTGTCATGACCTTGAGCACTTTTAATTTTTTCTCCTAACATGAGGCTTACATGTGGCGGGCACAATCGGCCCCTGTAACTATGGAGCTCTCCATGCAGAAATCAGCCAATGGCCATGGACTTGGGTATATAGCACAGTGATGTAGATATATGGCATAATTTCTAGAGAGAAGAAGGAATGATTTCTAGCTTAGTTTAAGAATAAATTGTGAATTTCAGGAAGCGGGCGCTGCACTATAATGCTTTCGAAACCTTGACTATCGACCGGTGGTGGTTTCTGACCGTGCTGAAAAAGTGTTGCAGGTTAAAAAAGCCCCGACTTTCTAGCAATCAGACTGACGTTTACCTCGCGAATACATTGCCTTACAGATCTCTGTCTGCAGCAAAAATTTATAGCTGTTATAATAAGCAGAGTTAGAGGTTGATGTTGCATCAGTGCACGTCTTTCTGTCTCCTGTCATTTTCGCTAATACATTAGAAACTACACAGGTGAGCTGGCAAGGCCCTACCCAAAAGCTAAATTTGTGTGTGTCAATGCTGTAGCCATTTTTGTTCCTCTTTAACACATGTTAGTTACTATTTATAGGAAAAGGGTGCACGCACTCTGTCAGTGCTATATAAGTGCTTTGTGATTTTAAGTGTAGTTGCACGGATGCAGGTTTAAATAAGCCATGTCACAGTAACTGGAACATGTACATTATGAAAGCATATAATTTGAAACTTATCTTCAGGTCTGATTTTTTCAGGTCGGACTAAAAGCAAACTGTTGGTTGTCGAAAGTGAGACTGTACTATGACCAGGTTTAACTTTAATAATTTAGTTACAGTGTTCATAAGTATAGCAAAGAGATTTTTAATCATTAACCATTTACTGCCTAGTGTCACGAATTGGGGACATACCGAAAAACTTCGAGCGAGCAAATCACAAAATGCATGCTACTTTTAATGCTGGCTGTCAAGTACTCACGGGAGACAAAGCTTTCAGCATGAAAAATCTAGCATCATCTCGTTTAAGGCATTTTATGCTTGAACCAATTGTTTTGTAGCTGATGGCAAAGAATGCAAAGTGCGTGCAACAGCTCTCACTTCTTCATTCTTTCTCACCTGGGTGACGTAAGTTCTATCTTCAATAATTTTATTTATTTGGTGTGTACACACCCAAGAGGTGGCACATGGCGTGTTATGCAGTTCTGAAGTACCGTTTCTTGTTGCAAGGTCCTCGATTCTGTGGCATATGGAGAATTCACGATGTACATAAAAGTATGCACTAAAGTTGTATTTCAAATAATTTAAAAGTGTATAAGCAAATAAATGTTGCTATTTAAACCTGGAAAATGATAATTACTATTTTATTCAGCAGTTTCGTAACTTAGGCATTAAAAGGTTAAAGAATATGCATGTGTCTTCAAATGCTTACAAATGATGTACAAACTTTCTTTACCCAGGGTGCAATTGTCAACAATTGGCATCATTACTCCAGGACAACTATGCTATGAAGCATGAACTCCTAACCTACAAGGATCGGATAAAATCTCTTACTACCAAACTAAAACAGTTTGAAGGAATATCGGTAAGCACAGCCACTTATTGTGAACCGAGGGGTGGGAAATTAGTCAATCAGTGCTCACATTGTGCTTACTGCATTTTCTCTTGCCTGTATCAATCATAACGGTGTTAAGATGGAGAATGGTGGATTAGCATCAGTGGGACATTTTTATTGCTGCAGGAAGTCATGAAGGAGCTTCAACAAAGCGTCGAAAGTGTATCAGAAGAAAATAAAAGGCTCAAGCAGTACGAGAAATGGTGAGTATGTTTCAGGAAGTAACATTCACATAGCATGTCCAAAATATGTTTTATGGTTGCCTGCATTCATATTTGAAAAATTCAGTAACTTAGATTATTTACTTTCTTACATCAACTGTAAATAAGCATATACATTTTTGCATGCACTTTATATACAAAATAATTTCATTTGTAAAGTAATTTGGTTGAAGTGCAGTTATAATGCGAAAAAATCTGACTTTTATGAACTAATCACTTGAGGTCAGTTATAAACCAACATATTGTGTTTGTCTGCTCTAGATAACCTCATAGACACATGTTGCTGAATTGTTATATATTTATTTTGGCATGTAGTTAACACAGAAATTGACTGCCTAAATTTTAAAAAAATTGCAATTTCTAGCAATGTTTGCAAAGTTTTTCAGGGTTTAATTAAGAAACTCTGCTCCTAACAGTTAATAATAAATGCATTTTACTTCTCTGCATGGCTGTAATATTCTTGTTGCTCATCTTAGTAAGTCATATTGCATCCATATAAAATCAGCTTAATGTTCTGTGTTTTTTTTTGCCAACTTGTCCTAGCATTACAGAGGCCAAGACTACAGAACAAGAGAAGCATGACCTTTTCGAGCAGCTCAAAGATGCACAGTCACAGTACAAGCATGATGGTGTGCACTGGAAATTTTGCTGTTCTACTGAATGCCCCCATTCAGCTCCTGATTACTGAACAAGTGAACTAAAAATGATGTCTGATAACTTCTGCCCTGTCCCAAAGGCACCTTAGTTTTAAGAGGGTTAATTTAGTGTTCATGTCATGTGATAGTGGGGCGTGGGTCTGTCAGTAATCACCGTTCGTAAGAAAAAAAAAAACTAAACCACTTTTTTTCTTTCTGTACGGTGGTTACCAACAGGCACACACACCACCGCTGCATATCTAGTCTACACTAACGCCTTTCGAAACAAACACACCAAGGTTGGCAAGGCACCTTTAACAAAAGTATGTACTTATATCAAAACATTTAAACATTTTCCAGGCTGTCTGACACACTTTCTTGTGTTTCTTTAACATACCTGCATTACTTTGTATGGTATGGTGAAATCTATTTTAATAAAAAGTGGCTGTAACATTTCTGCTAGGAGAATTTCAATACATCAGTAAAATTTTTGAAGGGTCGAACATTGCTTAAAAGTAAACTGTTGTGTGATGTCAACTATAAAAGTCTTACTGATTATTTTTTAAGTTAATTATTATTATATGCATGTTACAATAATGGAATTGAATTAAGGTAGTGGTAAAGTCATACATATTTCATCTGAATGTTAATCCATGTATTTGCCACACTAAATTGAATTTTGCTTTTGCTAGACTGTTTCTCTCGAGATTTTATTGTTTTTTCACTGGGTGCAATGTTGAAGTTCACAATCAGCAGTTATACTGCACGTTTCACTCGCAACACAGCAGACCAGGTATTTTTCCGTAAAAAGCAATGATAATCTCAATGCAAAAATTTTTTTCTCAAAGTAATGCTCAAGTTTCATTTGAGTAATATATTGCACAAAAATTTAGATGGTAATAAAGAACTAAGGATGGTATTCAAAATTCTGGAAGCATGAAGTTATGAGTAATGTGCTGGCAAGTTTTCAAAAACTGTGTAGGTTAGTAGCAGTCTTTGTTGACAATTAGTAATGCAACTGCTTACAAATGTATGTATGCTTTATGAAGTGTGTAGAATGTTTGTTTGATGTCTTGGAAGCCCTTAACGTGGTAGTCATTTACTATTTGAATGCGTAATAAGGGGCAGTTTTGAATGATGTATGGGCAAACATTGACTTTCACTACTTAATCATCATGGGCTTTGTAAAATAATGATATTGCAAATGTGCATAAGCGTTAGAATATTTTATGTGCATGATTTCCTGCCATTCTTAGAAATGTGGGCTTGCCACCTAGTTAATGTGGAGGAAATTGGAAGGTTATCAGTGGTCGTGTAAAGCTTCAGGTTCATTATGACACCTGAAGAAAATTTCCTCTTGGAGTAGTCAGAACTGGCAGCTTCAATGGAAATATGGTTCTTTGAACAAGAGGCATTGTGCAAGTTTGGTGTATTTTCGATAGAGCTCAAAGGATGGTGTGTACTATATGGATTAACCTGCCTCTACATGCTGTCTGGGTTGTGGTGTGCAGTGGACCATCTGAGTCAACAGGTGAGCCAGCTTGAGCGTGAGAAGCAAGAGCTGGAAGGGGCCTTAGCCAAGTTACAGCAGGAGCATGACCAGCTGCTCATCTCCACTCAGAACTCTGTCTCCTTCCAGTTCCACACAACAGCTATGCTTGAAGTCAAGAGGTGCGCACCCCACATCATCTGCAGCCGCCCTTAGTAATAAAATGGGCCATTGTGTGGTAACTTCATGTCTCTGCTCTCTGCTTTCTAGGCTTTTAGAAGAGCTCAAACAAAAGTACCAAAACGACAAGGAAAATCTCACAGTTAAGGTCCAGGTAAGTTTGTAACAGAAGTCTTGCTATTTGCTGCTCCTCTGTATTGCTGCGTGCTGCTTATACTCACCATCGTGAATGCAATAGCAAACATGCACAGAAATTGGCATGGCACTAGAGCTGTTGTGCACACTATTTGTCATAAGTTCGGACACATTAAGCACTCTTGCATAAAAATGATAATGCAGGAGGATGTTTAACATACGTCCCACCTTTCTCCCATGAACTGCTTTAGCACGTATATAATCTACATCTTGCAGCCTTTTTTGCCATGCCTTAATAGGGCTAAGCAAATACAACACAGCCTATAAGCACTTTTCATCACCCTCTGCTTCAAATTGCAGCTGGTGTATTTAAAGGTTGTTATGCTTAAGATATGTTCCGTCAACATGCAACTTGTGACTGGCTACGAGCTCATGCAGCACTTCGTCATTTCAGTTTTTTACACATTATGTTATGTCGCTTTGCTTTGCAAACTGGATGCTTCCTGCAAACATGGATGTCATTTCACTTCATAAACCAAATCACTTTTTTAGAAAAGAGAAAAAAAAGTGAGAAAAAAAAAACACAATATATGTAAATTTAATAATCAGTGCAGTGATCAAAGGCAGCCGAGTGCATTTGGTCACTTCACTCATTAAGCAGTGATATGTGAAAAACACATGTAGTCGTGCAATAGGAGGGATTTCTGCACATATTCAAACTGCAAAAGAGTATGCTAATGTAAGATTACAGGACTGTGTCAACCCAGCCCACATGAATTTTACAAAAAGATGTTTCTCTCTATAAAGCACCATGAAATATAGATACAGCAAGTTGGAATTGTATGACTTCCTTGTTTGTGTGACATTGAAATTGTGACAAAGAGTTATATCTGAATCAGGTTTATTGTACTAATACTTAATTATGTACTGCTTTTACTATTGTAAAAGGACCAACAGGTGTTTTTGAAGGTGTTAAAGTGGGTATGTGTTGCTCTGTAGATTCAATAATAATGAGCATTGCACAATGGTAGAGCAGAGAAGGTATTTTGATCTTTTGTAGCGCTTTTTTTTGTCAGTGAGTCTTCGTTCGTCACACTGAGATCAAATACAATACATACATACAATTGATCTACAATAGGACATGCAATTTTATTTGCACCTAAGTGTGTTGTTGTTGGAATGTAATGCTGTCTTATTATTTGTGGAATGTGATGCACTCACCAAGCACTTAAACTGTCATAATGACAGTGGTTGATGTAGCATTTTTCTTACCACTATGGCTCTTACATTTCTTGTTTTCTACATGCTTTAAGTACTTAAAAAGTGAATCAATGGAGTGAGGGTGATTAATACTGTCATAAGGGCCAATGTAAGGTTGCAGAGCAGCATAATTTCAGCTGGCCACAAATACATGACGCCCACACAAAAGTAAAGAATTTGGGAAATTACTTGTTGGTTTAACTGAAATCCAGAAATTATGTGGTAAAGAGAAATGAAAGTTCTAGATGCTGAAATGGCTCCAGCCACAGTACTTTAAGTGAACTCTATATTCAAGTTCCTTTCAAAACCAAACAAGTCCCAAAATGTTGGTTCTGTTTCAAAAACTGTGGCTGGGACTACTTGGGCATCTACTAGAATTATCTCACCCAGCCGGACAGATCTCTGTCAAAGTGCTTAGATTTGTGATGCGAAATTATATATATAAAAAAAGCTCACCACCAATCAGAGCCATATCCACGTCTTTATGTATGCAAGCTAAGGGGGCGGCTGTCCTCACATGCACATCCTTAGGTATGTACGTAGATGCTCAAGATCTTTCTCTGAGAATTCTGGCCAGTTCCACTCTTGACTATGGTGGCAGATGTCACTCATTCTTTAACCACAAGTGTAACATGGTACGTATAACTTTGAAGCAAGTCACTGGCCAGTAAAAGCTTTTTAAGGGTATTCTTGCAGCCAACAAAACTCGTATTACCTTTAATACCTTCAGGTAACACATGATGGTTCATGTAATAAAATTTAGCGCTAAAAACAAGCCGAATACAAAATAAGAGAACACATCTGTTCTCTCTATTGATCTTTCTCATTTTTAAACGAAAATTTTTCTGTATTAATAAATACTAGTTTCTTCAACTCACCCTTGCTAATATTATGAAGTTAACTGCTTTGTCACAATCCTTTACTACCAAGCCTTTGCTAGGTCAGATACTTTATCTGCTCCATCAAACATGCTGAATAAACATTATTCACGAAACTTACATCACCATTGTTATTCTATTTCAGGAGCATATATTTTTGTGTGTGTCATCTTTGGAGCTTTTGCAATACTGCAAATCAGTTAATTGGTGTCCAGCATACATATTCATAAGGTAAATTGTGAGCAACCAATTCACTGAGCTACATAATGCATCAATGTTGCATATTTCGACATAGTTGGTTATACCTTGATCATTTCTTCTCATTGCTTACAAACGTTATGCACATGGAATAATAATGACAATAATAACTGGAGTTTTACGTGCCAGAACTACAATATGATTATTTGACTTGCCATATGGGGTGCTTAGAAAAATTTGACGGTCTGGTGTTTTGTTATGTGCACTGACATCACACAGTGCAGAGGCCTATAGCGCTTCAGCTCCGTCGAAATGCAACCGCTGCAGCCGGTATCAAACCCACGGCCTTCGGATCATCAGCCAAGCACCGTAATCACTGTTACACAAAGGAGGACTATGCACTTGGAATAGCCCATACCAAATTTTGTTTTATGATACAGATCAGCACTTTGCGCACTCTTGTTCAAAGTGCAAAGTAATCATTGCTCACCAGCGATGCAGTATTTTAGTGCTTTTGCTTAAAATGACACAAAAAAATGAGCCCAGCTGGGTATAGTGATAGCAGCTGCTTAAAGGGGCCCTCCAAGATTTTTCGATCATGGTCATAAAATGCTGCCGATGCTGTCGATTGGTATTGGAAGCCCCCGAGAACATGCGAGCCAAATAATATAGTGCAGCACGTGACCTGGAATTCACAATAAATGATCAAAGTCAGCAAAAAATTGCTTTCTTATCTCTCGTCAAATGACAGAAGATGCTCAAAAATCACTCATAAAAGGCCATCTACCAGACATTGGCTGAGTTGAACATGGTGCGCTCGGTCGTTACAGGGATCGCCACAGGAGGCCGTGACTTGTCTACGCGTGCGGGCGCGATCACACTGAAAAAGCCACGTATTCGAAGAAAAGAGAAAGAAAAGAATGGTGATGGTCACAAGGCGTGCGTGACGTATTTTCTTTGCCCACGTCATTTTTCCCTGCTTAGCTTCCAGCGCTTTAAATGGGAAGAGAGAATGCGACTGCAGCGTGTGACAAATCTTGGTAACTTCGCTCGTACTATACGGATCGTTAAAAGTTTTGCGGCGTTTAATTCGTGAGGCAATAAGCTCTCTCAGCAAATCCATTCCATGGTTACTTGAAAAAGTGTTTGAGGGACCCTTCAAGGGGACTTGTGAGTCGAAAAACATGTTTTTCCCAAAATTATATATATATTTATTTTTATTTGCTTTCTCAAGTTTTGTTTTTTCTCTACTTTCATGACAAAAAAATTGAACACTTTAATTGAACTTGAAGTAAGTCAAAATTGCTTAAGAACACAAGGTGGCTACCAAAAACCAAAAAGACCCATCATTGTCTAGAGTCCCCTGGAAGTTGTCACCTGGCTGCTTGCCATTGCATTTCACATGAGTTCACAGAAGCCACATGCTATAATCCCAAGCTCTTGTGATGGAAAAAAAGTATTTTTAAAAGCATGTCTTTGCCACATAGATGAGCTTTCATTTCTACATTTAAAATGCATTTTTCTCAAGATCCATTTTTTCATAACGTCTTGAGTTTGAACACGTTTTTGGTAGCCAGATCAAAATGAAACTTTGCCCAAATATTTCTTAATATGTATAGAATGTGAATATCTTCCTTAGAACTTTACACACCTATATAATTATTACGAACCTAAAGTAAGCAGTTAATATTAGCTGAGCATTCTAAGACTTCTCACAATACAATTCTTCTTGTTCCTTAAAATGTCTTGTACTCAATTGCTTGTTAGTTATTTGCATTCTATAGTTAATGGTGGAGAAATATGAGGCATTAATAGCTAAGAACCAAGACAGTTTAATGGCCGTAGAAGTTTGTTAAAAAAACTATATTTTACACATTGTCATGGTACCAGACAAAAACTATGCAACTTACTATAAAACTGATTACATTATTAAAATCAATATAAAAGTCTACATATACAGCAAAAATTTTGTTGACCTAGGCTACAGATTAAATAACCTTTTTTTTTTTTCAAGTAGCATCTTTTTTTAAAGTGCCACTGCGGAAAAGGGGCTGCAATCGATGCTGATATTGGTTTGCTTTTGGCAGTTTCCATTGCACAACTTGCCTGTGTAGTTTTGCAGCAATGGTTTAGTTATTTCACATTCTGGTAAGCCCATCCTTGTATAGAATACATGACACATGACTAGAGGCTGGATTTATAGGCACTAAAAAACCGGGTTTTAGGTGCCAAAAATAGGCAGGCAAAACACTGTTTCAGGCCCCCAAAATCATAATTATAGGCACTGTTATGAATCTGAATGACGGACGCTCTACTGTACTGAATGGCACCCCATCCTACTTCGCCCTCTGCACCTTCTGTCGTTAACCCATAGCGCACCTTCGATAATCGACCCATCTGTTTTGCATGCGGTTTTGTGAGACATATAGCATGCTACTGCCGCCATCGCAACTTCCAGCCTCCGAACTGTGGGAATTCTGCAAATTACCAGGCTGCCCAGAATCCCCAGCGACCATCTTCCCCTATCGCCGACTCGTTGTCTACACGACACCCTCTCGACTCTCGCCGGTCATTACCGCCCCGTCGCCGATCTGTCTCTCCGATGCTTCGGCGAACGAGCCCTGCTCGAGAGGAAAACTGACAGCCGCTGTTCCGAAGGCAAGAACTGCGTCGTTGTCAAACT